ACATGTAATAAGCATCAACAGACGTCCAAAATCAGTTTCAAAAAGTCAGTTAATTGGTGACCTGTTAATAACGTCCACAGACGTCCAAAATCAGTACTACTAATAACATCAATGGACGTTTCACTATAACGCAATAATAATGATAACGATCATGATAATAACTGTACCAGTACCACTGCTTCTAGCCTACTGCTACTACTACAACTACAACTACTACTTATAATAATAATAATAATGATAAGAAGAAGAAAAAGAAGAAGAAGAAAAAACAAAAAGAAAGCTGTATTCCAGTCCAGAGATGTTATGTTTCTTTTCTCAAAGATACCAAACGTTAAATATAGAGGGTTTTGGCTTACTGTTATGTTAGATGTTGATTGCTGAAGCTTGATAATATTTCACTTGTCTTTATGATGTTAAACATGCCTTATGACATCACATGGAGTGTGGTTGTTATTTCACATGGTGCCATCAGCTTTTCTTCATTTTCTGGACTTTTTAAATGTTAATGCAAGTGCGAAATGGTGTTTTTACAATTGCATATCTCATAGCAGTGTGCATTATTTAAGACACAATTCGAATTTGAATGCAAAATTATTTGCGTTTTAATTTCTGCGTATTATAGCTGGAAACGTTTAATACATAAAAGCAGCGTTTCATTATCTTAATATGGTTTGACTCTGACATAAAAAACGCCCATTTTATTGTATTTCGTCCTCATGGCACTCCAGCTCTGCCAAAATGAAACTGTATTTGCAATCCTGTTTGCAACAGCATTTCCACTGTCAGTCTTGTAATTTAAGCGCTGTGGGTTTGGGGGATGTATCAAGCAGTTTAAAAGAAGACGCGTTATCAATTTGAACAGGCAACAATTACTGCCCCTTTGGAAGGTTCTCGTTTGAGAAAGTCTTCAGCGAGCCGTCCGCAGCACACAGCGCTACTGTCCACATTGATCCAGGTGAGTAAACGTTAGCTGGCCGTTTTAGGTAGACCTTTTGCCATATACGAGTCACTAAGCTTACAACGAATCTTTAAATATTAGTATTATCGTTTGTTTATGAATAGAGGGTATATGTTAGCCAGCTAGCTACCTAGCTAGTTAGTATTTGATACAGCTGCTGAAGCTATCTTGCTAAGGTTAGCTAGTGCTAGAACAGTCGTGCTAACTACGTGAAACATAGCGGTCGGTGCTGCACGTCATTAACTTAGATTTAAAGATTTGTCTGTATTGGCTGAATATAGCGAATTAAAGGCTTATTAACAAAGGTAACGGTCATTTTATTTCCCTCAATTCAGTGTCATTGATGGCGAAGGTCCTGATAAAAGCTAAGCTCGCTAGCTAATGCTATTTGTTCATCACGACAACACACGTTTTCTGACATTAGCTATTTTTGTTGTTGTCCCGTAAGTATTCGCTAATAACTTCTTAGAAACACCATATAATCATTCTAGTAAAACTCTAACGTGAATAGTAGTTGTATATTGTGTGTTTAGCACTTATAGTAACGTCTACGTCGGTGTTCATGTTGGATTTTTGCGCGGGCTCATTTGTACAAGTTAGCCGTTAGCTATATTGAGCTACATTAGCTAGGTTATATTTACCTAAGCTTGTAGTCACGTGCATGAATAGCTCGAGGCACATTTTAAAACTTCAAGGAGCATATTTTTACTTTGAAACAAAGTACCACAATTAATGATTATTTTACAATATTTGAAAGTAGGTAGCTTAGTAGGTAGGCAGGGGAAAATGGGGCAGTCATCCTAATACTTTGTTCTTTAGCTTTGGTTACACAAGTTGAAATCATTAGTGAGTTTTTATTAGACAATGAAATGTTCTATGAGATGTTACTGAATTAACTGTATCTGTATCTTCTTTTGCAAACAAATATTTGTTTCAGAAGCTGACTGGATTTGTCTGTGTGCCACAACAACATACTGGCAGTGGTCAAATAATGCACACAAGTTAAAAAAGTAAGTATTATCGCAAACACAACGAAACGTAATGTGTTAACAATTTATGTACAGTTTTCCTGGTTATCAGTTGCCATACTCATTTTATGACTAAGAACCTATTTAAAGGCATGGTTCAGCAAAATATAAAATTTAAACAATTTTCTGCTTACCTGCAATGTAGTCTTTTAGCCAAGACATAATTGGTATCCAAATTTTGTGTCTGTAGCAATGGAGCTGTGAAGCTAACATTTCTAACAAACACTAGAAGTCAATATTCACCTAAATCATTTCTGTAGGTACTTCCTGAAAACATCTTTCAACCCTTTCAAACCACATCTATGTCTTTATTAAGGTTGCACAGACTTCTCAGTGTGGTTTAGACCACAGTCTGACATACTGTGGGCTATAAAAGTGAACAAAATGTCATCACAGAGTAAGTGCTGTGGGTGACCTCTCTGTCTCAGGAGTAGGATTGCTTATCTCGAATTGTTTTTTATGGAAGTGACATATAATTATTGATCCAACATCAGTCCTGTGCAGCCTTTGTGTTGCCTGAAATGTCCATAGTGGTGAAGTTTTGTTAATTTCTGTAGTTCAAAGTAAGTCATTCTGTGTTCTACACTACACTGACAAGTCTGCTGACTTTAATGGAGACCTAGATGCAGTTTGAGAGGGTTGAGAAAAGTTTTAGAAATGTATTAATGGAAAAACATCTGGGTTAATATTGTCTTCTAGTGTTTGAGCAATGTTACACATAATGCCAGTACTAAACAGAAGCAGAATCATTAATTGTAGTCATTTCAGTCAAATTTGATATTGGAATTTGTAAGGCATTAAAAAAAAGTCAAACAATAATACTGAGCTTTTCTGTGATGCTTCCTATGTTATATAGCTGCATTCTGTACTGTTTACTACCCAGTTAGTTCTTGGGACTGTGCTTTATTCCTTTAACAAATAAACACTGACCAAAATAAGAGAGACCTTTCAGTTCCCAGCAGTCTAGTATAGAGTTTAGAAATCTCATGGGTCTTAGGAGAATATATAAAATTAGAGACAGTATATAAAATTAGAGACAAACTCAAGCCCTTTGCATTTAAAAGAACATATCACGATAGCACTCCTTCGCAGTTGTTTAGAAGCCCACTGAAATAAACATTTAAAAATAACTAAAAAATAGATTTGTAATTATCAGTTGACTCCTTATTGTTTTTGTCTGTTTTTGCCAGATTTTAATGCTTTGTGTGTACATTAATTGTAAAAGTCTTGTTTGTATTTTATATTAGCTGCAGTTCTGAAGTGGAACAACAAAGCCACAGCTCATGAGATGGATGCTGCCTTGGCCAATCACCTCAAGCATGACCCCTGCAGAGCTTTTAACTTTGTCTTTTTTTTTTTTCTTTTCTTATTTGACTTCTCAGAAACTAAAATGAACAAGATTTTGTCTTGTTAAGTAATTACTTTGATTTCTTTTACATTAAAACATTGGAAATCCTATACAAGTACTGACACAGCTTATGGTTAAAAGGTGAAATTTTTTTCTGAATTGATGCAGAGGATCTTTGTCTTAGTCCTGATGAAGTTCATGGTCCAGTTTTATGTTCCACAAATGAAATTAAGAATAACTACACATTTTCAATAAAGTTGCCATTTAACAAAGTTTGTTTTATGTTTACATTGGAATCAAAATTGTTAGTTAACTACAAGAAGTTTTTTGTGCATGGTGAAAAGGTTCTTCACATTGACAGATAATGTGTTGTATAAGATTCTGTATAGACCAATTGATTCTATATAGAACCAAAAAGGTTCTACTATTGTACAGTGTATTAAGCATGAAATGGTTTTATATAGGATTCATCGTAAAGTGCTATCTTTTTTGAGAGTGTACCAGTGGAAATTAAGTTTGGATTAATTTTCAATGCCTTTAAACCAAGAAATTATGTCTGCTAGGTGACTCTGGTAGTATACTTCAGTTTATTTAATTATTTAACATTTTTTCCAAGGCCTTAGAACACCTTAAAATTATGTTTTTACTGTGACTTTTTTGGTCGTCTTTTCAACTTTTATTTTCAACCATAAGAAAACGTAAATTAAACAGCTGTTGTGTACGTGATTTCAACGTTAAAGCAACGGCCTTAAAATGACGTCTTTAATGTGACTATTTTGGTCGTTTTTTCAACGGCTAAGTTTAGACGTCTTTTCAGCTTTCATTTTGAACCTTAATAAAGCGTAGTTTAAACGGCAGTCAGATGTGTGATTTCAACGTTGTTTCAACGGCCAAATGTTTACTGGGAAACGTGTTTTTCTCTGAAACATATCATTTTGTTAGAGATTTTATGAAGTAACCTGAGGAACTTCATTAAAGACTATTAAAGTGTCCAAATACTTTCTGTGGCCACCGTGTATAAAAGGTATTTAGGCCCACCTTTTTATTTTTAAATGTCTATCTTTTAATGAAACATATAGTGCAGCGTGTTTGTGCTCACTGCTCAGTGTTAGATTATAGGGGGAAACTAGAGAGGGTCGCCTACTTTACGGAGTCAGTTGTCAAGGGCGTGTTACATTTTCATTTACCTCCGAAACGCTGCAGTTCACAGACAAATGATGCATTTTTCCGAGAAGACTCCACTGCTTGCAAAGACGTCTCCTCGCTGACGAATGGATGTGTTTACACAGCCGGGTGTAAGGGACGGGGTGAGTTGGGTCAGTGTGACCCGCACACAGCCGCGCACGTGCTCACATATTACTGAACCTTCCTCCCGCATCTTCAAACAGCCGAGTCCTGGCTCGAGCTCTGACCTATCACACAAAAGCTACAAACGCTAACAAATCTTTTCTAGATTTCTCACCTAGGCGGGACATTTTAAAGAGAGTCTTAATTGAGAAGACACCGAACTCGCATGGCTCAATCAACCGAGGCTTGTTCGGGTCCACTCACACCGCTCAGCGGGTTAGCTCTAACTTTGTTTCCCTCGTTTGACGGTGACTGTCTCAGACTCCCGTACAGACTGTGAGGGTTTTCGGCGTGTCCACTGTTCTGCTGTGCGCGCGTGCGGTCTGGAGCTCGGCTAGTCATGGAGGAACTCGCGCGCGAGAGCATCCGCAGCCTCAGCCTGCTGTCCAAACCTGCGCGAGGCTCTGAGGAGCCGCGCCTCGGCTCGTTCGGGGCCATTTTCATCATGCTGAAATCCGCGCTCGGAGCGGGACTCCTCAACTTCCCATGGGCGTTTGAGAAGGCGGGTGGCGTGAACAGAGCCATCACTGTGGAGATGGTACGTAATCAAGCTATTGACTGTTTTTTTTGTGTGTAAACATATTTACATTTCACTTGGTCCAGCTTGCCTGAGCTCAAATCTGAAGAATATATATTTTTTTCAAATCTAACACACCATATGGCTAAAAAGTGAGTTTTTCTCATTGAATTCAGTCTAGTGGTCACTTGGCATTACAGATTTTTAGCAACACAAACACAAAAAAATGAATAAAATAGTTTAGACGGATTAACAAAATCAAACACGCACTGTTAGATGTTCATACAAAATGTCCTCACAATAGACTTCCCAAACCCAGTCCGAGCAACCCCTCTGCACATTTCTGTGTTTCCCATACTTTACACGCCTGGTCCAGTACACTAGAAGCATGAATTAATTAGTGAGAAATTAGTTGAATCAGATGTTCTAGATAAGACAAAGCACAAAAATGTTGATAGTGTGGCACCTCAAGCACTAGGACTGGAAACCCCAGACCAATAAGAACAAATTTAGTAGATTTTTCCTCATCATACTCAGTTTAGATGTTGGACATGAATGGCTTAAACATTTAATAGCAGTTTAAATGTAAGATTCACATGGCTCTCAAAGTCTCATTCATAATGAATTTAAAGTCTTAAGACAGGTGTGTCTGTGTGTGTGTTTGCTGCATCAGATTTTTTATTAGGGTGTGAATTTGATGCTGCCTCTGACAGTTTGACACTAATGAATGGTATACATTTAAAGCACTCTGTCCTCTGTGTGTGTGCGTGTGTGTGTGTATAACGCCTCGGTGTATTGCTGATAAGTTCTAAGCAGGGTAAAAGTACAGAGGAACTATAGCTATTTAATTGAATGTTAAGGCAAAACAGCACGAAAATATAAGCAAAATAGTAAATCAAGTTTTTTTTTCAGATTGACTCCTATTTTAACGCTATCAACATTATGAATAAAAAAAATCAGAATGTAGGTTCTTTGGTTATTTAAAATAGTATAATAATAATAATAATAATAATAATAATAATAATAATGGCTATATTTGCATTGTAGACACTGCAAGCCCTGGTACCTAACACCACCACTGTAAAGAAATTTGAAACCTTATGACGTTCTGAGATATAGCACCTCAGAAAGGCATTTGCAGAAATAGTAACAAAAATAATACAGTGTGTTGTAGAGATAGAGATAGAAAATGAAATAAGCTAAAATAAATAAAATTACTGTAGCACTACGAGAAAGTGCAGTGCAAAAGGTACAAGAAAACAAGAACATCTGTAAATGTGACTTAGAGATGGCTACATTTGGAGCATATCTGACATCATCTGTGAGTTTATTCCACCAGTGGGCAGCATTATGACTAAACGATGCTTCACCCTGTTTGGCTCTGATTCTGGGCACTACTTACTGATGGGTCACTTGTAATCATAGAGGCTTAATGGGTTCATATACTTAAAGCAGATCAGCAGTGTGTTTTTGTCCAAGGCCATTCAGTGATTTATGTTCAATTAGAAGCACTTTAAAGTCAATGCTGTAGTTAACCAGTAGCCAGTGCAGTGACATCAGAATTAGAATATCAGAGTATTCTTTCAAAAGTGGAAGTATGGAACCGAGAACATGCTTGAGTGAGAATAATTTAATTGAGTGACAATTAAATGTTTTAACTGAAAATTAAGTTTTCTTTTATGGTGTTGTGAGTAATGAATGGTGCTAATAAGATAAGATAATCCTTTATTAGTACCACAACTGGGGAAATTCACAGTGCTACAACAGCAAAGGGATAGCAAGGCACTCAAGAAATGAAGTATCAAGAAGAGAATTAACAAACAAGGTATTAACCTTGTTAAATATCTCTGAGGTATTTTAATGTTTTTTCCTTAGGAAATGAACAATAATGATAATATTAGCTTTGCTATCCAGAAGTATTTTTCCTGTGTGTGTTGCTCCACCATTCTTTTATGCCTGCTGAAACTCTAAATTTAAGATGAGTAAGCATGGTTCATGTCAGTCATTTTTCTAACAGTCATTTTACAGATCAGTAATGATACGGGATGGAACAATACAAAACATATTTATCTTCTTCACTATCCAAGTCAAAAACAGTAAAAGTAGCTGTGGATTTAGTCATATGTGTTTCTAGCTGTAAGCCTAGCTCTAAGCTTTATTAAACATTTGCACATTTGTACCATGAAAGCCCAGTTTCAAATGCCACCCTTAACCCTACGGTCCTCCTCAAAGACCACACATTGGTGACATCAACAACTTGCAGACCTACAGGGAAAGAAACCATGAGAGTGCTTGGTTTAAACGTGTGCGATGAGGACAGACTCGTATGATGTACAGGTTCTGCATGTGACGCACCCAGCATATCAGTCGTACTCATGCTTTTCAGTGAGCTATAATTTGCCCAAATCTAGTTTGCTAAATATGCAAATTTAGCATACAGTAAAGGTTGCACAGACTAGTCAACATTACTGCCGGTTAACAGGCTTAAAGCATCTCCGGTTTCCTGAAGGCTACCAATGAGATCTAGAGCTCATTGGACAGGGCACATCACGCTCTACTCACCTGTGGAGTTTTGGCATTTCTCCACCATTCTACAGTGCTTTAAATATCAGATTTTGAACATCATCTCCTCCAGGTTCCTGAAGACTACAATGAAAAGTCATGTGTTGTTGGAGAGGAAGCGTAACGCATTCTCCGGCTCTCCAGACCTCTGCCGCAGGGGATCACCAAGGCCATCTAGGGTGTGCCTAAGTCGGATTTGAATTTTGCGAGATTCCGGGGTCCTTATCTTCAGTTCCCTGAGGGTTAGCAATGTGATCCAGGGCTCATTGTGAAGGGCATATCATGGTCTACTGACCTGTGAAGTTTTTGCTTCATCACAGATTTTTAAAGTTGCTGGTTGCAGCATTCTCTTCTCGTCATCAGCAATTAGTGGATATTGACTCATCTTTCATCACATAACTGTCAACTTGAAACTACTAGTGAACACTCCTTTGATTGCCTAAATGTGAAAAAGGCCTTGCAGTCCTCTTATGCATCACCATCTGGGTCTGGGCTACAGAGAGCACATTTGCAGAATCATATTACAGTACAACTGACCCCAGTATCTACATCTCTCTTTTTGTCACTCTGTCAGGTGTCTCTGGTATTTTTGATCAGTGGCTTGGTCATTCTGGGATATGCCTCGTCTATCAGTCGACAGAGCACCTATCATGATGTGGTGAAAGAAGTGTGTGGCCGCAGGATTGGCCAGCTCTGTGAGATCTGCTTCGTCTTCAACCTCTTCATGATCTCTGTTGCATTCCTTGTGGTGGTGCAGGACCAGTTGGAGAAGTGTAAGTTGAGTGGGAGTAAGTCCATGACACTATTCCAGTAGTTTTTTTTTGACATGCTCTTGCCAACTTCGACTCAATGTGTGGAAGTGCATCACGTTACGTAAGTGGCCACTTGGAACTCAAGGGGAGGAAGGGACAGCGAGGAGCAGATTTTTCAATTGGAACATACTCACCCTTGTCTAGGTTAGCCTCTGAGCTAATTCGCTAGGTATACAAACTTTGTAATGAAAAACATTTTTTTCCCCAGGGTTTTGAACTACCCTACATAAATTACAGCTCTTAAGATGGTGACAGGGATTCCCCTGAAAGGAAATGGCAAGGCCACGTTGATGAAGCACAATCTGGCAAATCTGGCAACTCTACACTGTATGTGTCCAGATATGTTCACACTTTCAACAAATATTTCTGTGTATGTCATTTCAGTGTGTCTATCTTTGTATGAAATGGTGACAGGAGAAAAAGTAATGCCGTATCACTGGTATACAGACCAGAGTTTTGCACTCTCCATTATGTGCCTTATCATCATCCTCCCTCTCTCAATACCTAAAGAAATCAGCATCCAGAAATACACCAGGTATGTTTTGGCAGTTGGTTAATATATTGCTTATTAATATTACTCCACTGATACTGATTAAAGTATAATGTCTGTATATTATATGTTTTTGGGCAGTGTATTGGGAACATTGGCTGCCACCTACCTGAGTGTTGCTGTCATAGTGAAGTATTACTTGAAAGAGGAACACACAGCCAACCTCACTCCAGAACGCAGTGAAGGGTAAGTGTGTGTGTGTGTGTGTGTGTGTTTGGATCAGATTTTGAGTAGGCAGTATTTTTCAAAGAGAGACTTACTAACCACAAAGAGACTCACATACATAAATTTGCATGACACTTGGACGTAGCTGTCATTTAAACTTTAGGAAAAAACAAACAAGAACTACTCTTTATGCGATTTATTGAGGGGCCACCTGAAGCTGCACTATGTAAGATTTTTTTTGTTAAATTTGAAAGAACTAGTGTTATTGAGTCAGGAGGCAACAAGCACTCTAAAATATGATGTGCATGTGCTGCTGTGAAGCCTGAAATAATAATTTAAAAGTCAGAGGTGTAGGTCTGGTTAGATTTTGAGTTCTCTTTAAATACTCTTTCAACATGCTCACAATCATCAGATTCATTCACTAGTGGAAGGGATCCAAATTATGCTTCAGATTAAATGTTGCAAAGAAAAGAAACAAGAAGTGAATATTCATACATATTAGTCACGCTGCTGTAAGTAACCTAGTTAGCTAACATTGTCATCTTAGTATCACAGCTATGTATGATACATTGACTTTCGCAGCTTTCAACACAAGGGTAGTTTAACAAAAAAATAAATTTGCTGTCATTAAGAAGTTCTGGCATTGTACATTCATTTGAGCAGGAAATCAGGGGGTCAGGGGTGTCCAGTCTTATCCACAAAGGGTCAGTGTGACTGCAGTGTTTTTTTAAATTCAAGCAAGGAGCACATCTGATTCTGTTTGTTTCAGTTGGTCTCAGTCTTCAAACCATGTTTGCTCCTGTTTTTTGGAATGAAGACCTGCTACCACACTGTCCCAGGACTGAAAATTCCTGGTCTGGATAACTGTTGACTTAATTTCCCATATACTGCCATTCAAAAGTGTCACCAACAATTTTATGTATAATAATAACTTATATAGTGTGGATTTAAATATTACAAACTATTTACCAAATATTTTTAGATGTTTTATTCAATATTACATGTATTCTGTAAACAGATGCATTTATTTATTTATTTATTTATTCGGGTAAAATTACCTGCCTTAAGATTTGGTCTCCACTTTCAAAATGTGATGAATTCTATTGATTGATTTTCTTGTAACTTAATTCTGCAGGCTATATGCCTTTCTCAGTCATTAAAGCATCGACCGTTGGTCTGTCCATTATTCTGAATTCATCCTAAGACATCTAAAATGGCTTATTTTATATTTATATTTACAGCAACCTAGTGTCCTGCAAATTATTTGAAACATGGGAAGTTGCACTTCACTAGCATCTTAGAATCATCTGCTACCAAATTGATTTGTATTATTGAAAACATTGATTCCAAACTTTTGAACAGTGGTGTGTATTATGAAGTTAAACTCTTTTAGTCAAGTTACAAGTATAAAACTTTCATTTAAATGCATAGTGTTGGTGTAGCATACAATATGTTAAAAATATATATATTCAATGAATTCATTTAAAGATAAGCAGTTGCTTATTTGAGTTTTTCACAAAGTTAGGGGGGAATGTAGATTCTTTGTCCATGTTGAAACTAAATAAGATCAAAAATACTTCTAACAGCTTGGATTGAATCAGAGCTCCACTGTAAATTCTATGTGGCTTGTCGTGCCAGATGCCTTAGAGGATGCATGTACAGTGTCTGTCCTCCCAGACTAGCAATGCTGTAATTTGGCCTGGAGTCGGGCTATCAAAAGTGCATCAAGATGATTAATTGATGTAAAAAAGGGAAAAAAACAAATGATTATCTAAACAACTCTTTGTTTTTTTCCAGCATGGAGTCCTGGGCTTCTATGTTCAGTGTGGTCCCTACCATCTGCTTTGGCTTCCAGGTCAGATTTTGCTTTAGGCCTCTTGCTGTGCTTGCCCATTAGGTGTGTTTATGGACTCTTTAGATGTGTGTGTTTGTAAGTGCATTGTGTATCTACCATTTATTTTGATCAGTATGTGTGTATTCTGTTTAGTGTCATGAAGCTTGCATTGCCATTTATAGCAGCATGGAGAACAAAAAGATTACCCACTGGGTGTTCATTGCTATGGTCTCCATGATCTTCTGCCTGCTTATCTACACCCTTACAGGTGAGCCTCGGGCAGGATGTCACCCCTGACACTGGCCTCAAAAGAGTACTGCTATTATCTACATCAGCCGTTTTTGTCTCACAGAATTAACATAACCATCTCTTTTTCACTAGGAGTGTTTGGCTTCCTTACATTTGGACAAGAAGTGGCTTCGGACATTCTGATGTCATACCCTGGAAATGATGTGGTGATGATCATTGCGAGGCTGTTGTTTGGGATATCAATTATCACCATCTACCCCATAATACTTCTGCTGGGCAGGTGCATAGATCAAAACATCTTGTGTGTGGTATCTAGGTTCCTGTTTCAGCGCTTTTTGAACACGCCCTCAGAACATCACACACACTTTACACTAGTGGCTGCTCGCAGCACAAGGGGGCGAGAGGACAATGAAGAGCAGATTCTTCAATCAGAATTCTCTTGCCCTCTGCTAGGTCGTCCTCAGTAAGCTAACGGGCTAGTCATGCAAATTTTGCAGAAGTTTTAAGATCAATGAAAATAATGTACACAAGTTTTAAGAATAATTGCTTTCTCTAGCTATAAGCTTTGGTTTAAAACTGAGGTGTATTGCCTTTTTTTGTTGTTGCTAGCTGTTTAGCCTTTAGCTTGCTAACTAGCAAAAGTAAAGTAATAATGTTACATCAGAACAGAGAGGAAAATTAATTTAGCTACAAAGATTCTGGTAACAGCAGTCTAGATGAATAAATGTTGGCACAAGCAGCCATCTAAACAGCTGTTACTGTTAGCTGGCTAATTAAGCTAGCTGGTTACAGTAATGTGAATTTCAAGACACTCATGTTTGTTGTCATGGCTCAGCTAACTGACAGAATGAAAAACTACCAACCTTGCATAAAGTCAATCAGAGGGGTCTACTTTTCAACCACCCAATAAACCATTTTTTTGACCGTTAATCCAGTGAAACCTGTTTCCTTGAGGTTGTAACCAACTGTTATGGCTCAGTTTCGAATGAGTTGCAGGATGCTTTACATTATGCATTATTTACATTAGGATGCTTTACTCAAGTGCAATTTAGTTTCATGTAAATTAAAGGTGCTTGAAAGTCTCACTGTGTAAAACTAGCCTTAAGATGGCATCAGGGATTCCTTTGAATTGACAAGGACTTAAAAACAGTATTGGAACAAGCAGTAGCTTTTAAACAGTATCTCTTCTGCTTTCTTATGTTTCCTCACACATATACAATCGGCATGTCTGTGTTCTGTTCCCCAGGTCTGTGATACTGACACTGGTGCTGCGTTACCGGGAGCGTGAGGCTATGGTTACGGCAGTGTTTGAGAGCCGCTGCCGGGTGGGTCTAACAATGCTGTGGATTGGTGTGACACTATTTATTGCCATCTATGTACCAGACATGAGTGATGTCATCAGCGTAATTGGAGGAATCAGTGCCTTTTTCATCTTTATCTTTCCTGGTGAGGCGCGCACACACACACAGTCAAACAACACAGGAAAAAAGGAATCAGGTAATAAAAATTGTAGGAAAAATATTGAACTCTCAGCTGTTCTTTTGCAGGACTGTGTCTCATATTTGCCATGCAGACAGAACCAATGGGTCACAGAACAAAGTGAGTGATTTGTGTATATTACTAAAGGAAAAAAAAACAAAAAAAACAATTTACACAATTTTCCACTAAGCCCAGATGTAATTGTAATTTGGTGTCCAGATTTTGCTTGGGCACTGTAGCTATGAGGCTAACGTTAACAAACATTAAAGTCAATAGGCACTAGGGCTGAGCCAAAACAGCACTTTACAAGCTTCAGATACTAAATATTTCCTAAGTAGTACTGGAATGCTTCTTCTCAAAGTCACTTTTAAAAATGATAATAATTGAGTCAACCATCTGATGGACCAGATATACTACAATTTTAATGAATGTTACCATCAAAATGCTATTTTTTCCCACTCGCGCAACTCAGTAGAGATCACACACTCCCACAAGCATTCTAAACTATACTTAAAATAATAAATTATTAAAATGTAATGATCTTGTTGATGTAGTAGTTGCAGATCAGCGCTGCACTAATAGTGTGTGTGTATATGTGTGTGTGAAGAATACTCTTCTCTGAAAGAGAAGTAAAGATTTGTGATTGGGATTTCATCAAAAAAAACAAATCTGCAGTTTGCGCTGTCATGTTTTAAACCTGTTGTTTAAAAAATTGTTTAATTATAAAGAGGAAGGGAGAACAAAGAGTCAGTTAAATTATAGGCAGTGTGGATTGGGTGCATGGTGGTACTCAGATAAGGATTGCTGCAGTTATATACATTGAACGGTCACTTCATTAAAACCACCTTGTTCCTACAGTCATTGTTTATTTTATCAGCTCCACTTACCATATAGGTGGACTTTGTAGTTCTGTAATCACAGACTGTAGTCCATCTGTTTCTCTGCATACTTTGTTAGCCCCCTTTCACCCTGTTCTTCAATGGTCAGGATCCCCACAGGACCGCTACAGAGCAGGCATTATTTGGGTGTTGGTTGATTCTCAGCATGTTAGTGTGCATGTTAGTGTGAGTTGCGCTGGTGCGAGTGGATGAGACATAGCAGTGCCGATGAAGTTTTTAAACACTGTATCCACTAACTGTCCACTCTATTAGACGCTCCTACCTTGTTGGTCCACTTTGCAGATGTAAAGTCAGAGACGATAGCTCATGTGTTGCTGCACAGTTTGTGTTGGTCATCCTCTAGTCCTTCATTGGTGGTCACAGGACGCCAATATTTTCATATACTATTCTCAGTCCAGTAGTGACACTGAGGTGCTTAAAAACTGCTGTGACTGATCCACTTATACAAGCACAACACAGACTAACACACAACGACCACATCTGTGTCATTGCAGTGCCGAGAATGATCCACCATTCAGATAATACAAGGTGGTCCAATGGTGGTCCTGATCATTGAAGAACAGTGTGAAAGGGGGCTAACAAAGTATGCAGAGAAACATATGGACTACCGTCTCTAATTGTAGAACTACAAAGTGCACCTATATGGCAAGTGGAGCTGATAAAATACCAAACCAGACTAAAATATGGTGTGTATGTGCTGCAGGTCACCCTTTAAAGCCTGAGTTGTTGGCCTGGATTTTCTAGGACTTTTTGGAACACTTTATGTGGTTTTTATGTATTATTGGTTCACAGGTTCAAAAAAGTAGTTCTCAATGTTTAGGTCTCAAAATCAACATTCTTACAACTTACATCCTCTGAAGACATTGTTCAACAAGTGTTGATCTCTTTGAATACACTTTCAACATGCTTGCTGTCATCAGATTCATCTGTTCAAGGGAGGGGTGTTAAACACAACTGACAGTAGAAACTGTTCTTCCGCAATTGTGTGCAATTACACCTTTCCACCAGAATGGTCGTCAAATCCTCAAAACTTACATAATGTAGCTTTAACTTTTGTATCTAAAGGTCTTTGCTAAGTTATTTTAGGCTTTATTTAATTTTAGATGACTTTTTCAAACACTGAATAGAGAAACAAAAGAAGAAATGTAATGAGTATTTGAAATGTTCAGGTCAGCCCTAATAGACACCCAGATCTTTTAATTAAATACGTGCCCAAAACGTCTCTCACTGACTGAGTTATAAAAATGCACAAAACTTCACTGTGTAGCTGAAGCTGCAGTCAGACGCTACAGTCACCAAACATGTCTTGGTGGGGGTAAGTGGAAAACTGTGTAAATCAGATTTTTTGCAGAATAGTTCTTTTAATCCTCAATGTGTGATTTTAGGTTATGTAAATAAAATTTCACTCTTTCTTTGTGATTCCTTTATGTTTTTAGGATGTTCCTAACTGGCTGGGGCGTTGTCACTGTTGTTACCGGAGCCTTCATCTTTGGCCAGAGTACTACCATTGCTATCATGGAGCTAGCACACAAGTTCTGATTATCATCTTCATCAACAATGAAATTGGTGGATGATTAACATTACTTGCTTGTGTACCTAAATGAATGGCTAAAGTTGTTTCTAACCTCTCTGTGGGAGGAATTTGCTGAGCTTTGCGCCCTACCACTAAAGAAAAGTTACATTTCTATTGTTTTGATATCAAAGGAAAGGAAGAAGCTGCCTGATCAGTAAAAAGAGTAAATGTATTGGAGTAGAAAGGGAGATTGAAAATAATGCAAGTATTTATTTATCTGAATTTGGACTATAAATGAATGGTTATTTTTTATTGCATTGAGCTACATTCTCCACCCTCTGGATCAATGCCATTTCAGGACCAAATCTGTCACACCAAAAAATTTTAACTCAATGATTCACTTCTTTTTTTTAAAACAAGATCTTAAACAGTTAAATGTGAAACATTCAGCACTGAGCAAAAATGTACTGTTTTTTTAACTCTTATTTTAAGCATACAGATACTTGGCATGTCAAGACCATGAAAATGAAAGCTTCAGTGCTTTCTGAGTCTGAGAAACATATATCTCATAACATGTATCTCGGCCATTTAAATCATGGATGCTTTCAGCAGCAGAAGCCATTCATGGTTTGCATGATTATATTTGTCAGTATTGAGTAGACATGTGATGTAACTTATATGTTGTACAGTACTGAAGATCAAATATGTGTTGTTTTTTATTAATTTATGCCATTATTTAGGTTGTCGGTATGTATGGTTCTGTTAATAAATATTTAATCCAAGACATTAATGTCCTCACTGATTATTTTGATGTGAATGACATAAAGTGAATAAAAAATAAAAACAAAATTTTGACACAGCTGGTTCAGATGGCTCCGTACTCTCTTATGTAGTGCCCTATGTAGGTCATGAAAAAATGACTTCTACTCCCAAATAGTGTGTTATAGATCTGGTTGATTTATAGCCATTTATACTGAGCTATAAGCAGCATGACTGCTTATCCAACAATTAGTGCACTATTTAGGTGTAGAAACCGTAGTTTCATGAACTATGCAGTGCACTATGTAGGGGGTGCAAAACCATTTGTGACTCAGCCTGAACAAAAATTGTGGTGTATTTTAAACAAGCTTCAAAATATACTTTTGTGTCTTAAGCTCAATCTATGGATTTGATTAGGAATGGGTGGATTGATACTGAAGTTTCCTTTTAAGAACTGATAATTATATAAAACACTGGTACCAAGAGTTTTTCTTAAACATGTCAAATTAATATATTTAAAAAATGGAAAACAGAATGAGAAGCATCACTGAGCATTGCGTAGATGTATGGTGATGCCAAATATTAGGTTATTTTAATCTTTTTAACACCTGTTGTTTCTTGAGAAGCACTATATTACAGTAATCAATGGTGAAAACGCCCATACAGGCTTAGACCGGATATGTTATTTAAGACCGATACAAAGACTTTATCATTAATGACACATATTTCACTGTTCATCACCTTTACTTCTACGTTAGGCAGATAGCAAATTAAGTAGCTGCCATTCTCAAATGACTCAGTGTGCCTTTAAGACATTTTGCTCATGTGACAGACAACAGGAAGTTACCCGTCGGCTCTGAAATCATCAGACGGAGGATTACGCCTATTCAACCTATTTTAAGGAAAAGTGGACATTAACTGGTCAACCACTGCTCGCCCATGTAACCTGCTTAACCTACAACCCTATGAACTCTCTGAAAAATAGTTTTATACCCCTCTTATAAGACCAGATTGCATGAAGAGGCAAGAAGAAGCGGCGTTATCACGTTAGCTAGCTAACCCACTTCAAATCCGTCATGACAGCAGCTGTGTTTTTTGGCTGTACGTTTATAGCATTTGGCCCAGCCATAGCACTGTTCTTGTTTACTATTGCCCGGGATCCACTTCGAGTTATCTTTCTTATTGCTGGGTAAGTGACGCAAAATTGTGTGCTCGTATGTTACGAGTGTGTTCGTTAGCTACGCTAGCTAGCTAGCATACTGACTAGCTGCCGGCGGTTGTTGTAGGTAATTTAACATCTTCAGGGTGTTGATACATTTTGGTGTGTGCTTATTAGCTAACAGGCTTAGATTCAGAAAGCATCACTCGGCGAAGGGGCTTCATTTAGCTGCCATAACCAACTGGCTTTACTTCTGGCTACACTTGCGTTAGTAAGCCCTCGCTCCGAAATCATCAGGTAGTCAGTCAGGGGACAATCACATGATGCGAAAGTGAGTCTGTAAAACACTGAAATGAACTGCCTACCCGTTGATGCAGCTTATCAAGTAACGTAACATCGAAGTTTTCTGCCTTTGAATAGTGCACGATATCTCAATAACGCTGTCTGCTTAGTAACAACATCATACAGAACATTTTAGAAGTGGCTAAGTGGCTTGCTGTGTTATGCTAAAAAGATGTTCTCCTTTTTCCTGTCGGATAAACAACACGTTTTTCGTTTAACTGTTTTTCCTCATAACAAGCTGAATTTATCTTGCTGAAAAGAATCAGGTGATAAAAAAAAAACATCTGTGCTAGGGGTGGGCAGTATGACTATATTTATTGTTATCTTGATAAATTGGTGACATTACGTTATGACATGCGTTACGTTTCTAATTTATCAAGATAAATATCGTCATCTTGATAAGTTAGTCACATTACGTCATGATATACATTACTTTTCTAAACAAACTGTGTAGATCATCAATACTCAAATAACATTGACAGACTGCATGTTTTGTTATACACAGGGCATAATTAGTCCAGTTTAACTGAATTTAGTGTGTGTAAAACTGAACAAAAATCATTGTAATGATAGTTTTTGATTGTATTTTTAAACCTAGCTTTTTTCCTCTCAGTACCAACTTATCAATCCTATATCGCGATGCATATTGTGAATCATGAAAATGTCTTGAAGTAGCCTATTATATAGCTGATTCTGACTAGCAGTTTCATTTTCACAAAACATCTTTCGTTTACAGGGGAAGTGATGCTACACTGTACTAGTAGTGTTACTGTATAAAAGGTCTGCACTGTGTAACCAGAAAAATGTAAATTTTGTGATAGATCTCATGTATCGTGAAAATGTCTTAAGTATGGTATATATTTTGCCATATCATCCACCCCTGCTTTCTACACTAATTTGTTACTGCTGCTTCTTCTAAAAGAAACAGGTTGGTGTGTGTTGTGATCAGTGTTTTGTTTTGCAGGGCATTCTTCTGGCTGGTATCTTTGCTACTCTCATCGTTGGTATGGTTTGTAACTGTACAGATGAGTAACAAAAACAGTGCCGCACAGCAGAAAGGCCTCCTCATATTTGGAGTGGTGCTATCTGTACTGCTTCAAGAGGTTTTCCGATTTGCCTACTACAAATTATTGAAGTAAGCATGAATGATTCCATAAAGGATATCCCTTGCAGTTATGTGCGCTGCAATCTCTTCGCATGTTAGAAGCCCTGTGGTTCTGTGGTTGCACAAGTCATTTAATTTTGCTGTATGTCTTTCACAGGAAAGCTAATGAAGGCCTACTGGCCATCAGCCAAGAGGACACCATGCCCATCTCTATTCGTCAACTATCTTATGGTATAATCACTATAGATTAATTAATGGTTTATAACTTGATGTTAGTGTAAAGATGATAATGTGTACTTAATCTGATGGTGCATGTATGTTGTTCAGTGTCTGGCCTGGGCTTTGGATTCATGAGTGGAGCATTTTCAGTAGTCAACATCCTGTCTGACTCAGTAGGTCCTGGAACTGTCGGTATCCATGGTGACTCCCAGCATTACTTCATATCCTCAGGTAAAGGAGCTACAGTGTGTTTAAACCAGGAGACATTTTTGGTGTGTTCATCCTTTGATTTTAAACCTGCTTATTCTTCTTTTCAGCTTTCATGACACTGGCCATAATCCTGCTGCACATGTTCTGGGGGGTGGTGTTCTTTGAGGCATGTGAGCGCCAGAAATGGTGGTCTGTTGCAACAGTGGTCTTGAGTCACCTGCTAGTGTCATGTCTGGTAAGAGTAACTAACATACACACAATCTTCCTTCTTAGTTATTATATTATAGTTGTGAATTAGATTGTGTTATTATTGCAGACTATGTCAAATAATAGCCAGTTGCACCAGTTAACAGAAGTTTTATGATAATCGCATGAATTGCAACTATGCTGGAATTTATAAGGTGCTACAATTTAACTGGTTTCGCCAATTAGTGTATGTGTTTCGACGTAATGTATGTGTTTCAATCTTGCTTCAACTTTACACCTACTAATTAGTATGTTCCATGTCCACCAGGAAACAAATGTTAACATGGCTACCTTTCCTGCCATCCAAATGCATATTAATTAGAAGCTACTTTTTGCTATTGTCTAATGCTAATTCGTCATTAAATTTGGTGCACAACAGTTCTCGTGTGAATGCTTCCACATTGAGAACCGCAAGCAGCAGAACAAAATGACTACATATTAAGTACAAATGAAATATATGAATGCTGTCAATACATCCCTATTATTGAAAAGCAAAATTTATTTGGATTTGTTAATTTGTCTGGCATTTCATTTAGGAACAGACATGGGTAATTAACTAACCACATTTAATGTAGTTTGTGTAGTCTCAAAAGCCAGCTATTCTGGTTATTCCTAAAAAGTGTTTCATGTCTTTACGCTAGCCTACTTTAATAGGAAAGGGCCATATGACTAAAATGCAAAACAACTATCCTGTTGTTTATGTATGATATCCATTGACTGCTGAATGAGAAAAGAACGTTTGGTCACCCATGGCTGTATATCATGGTCATTTCATGAACCTTTTTCACTTTATGAGTAATTTTTGGTCACCAAATTACAACTGCAAGTCTTATATAGCACCAATCCAATAGTGCTTACACTGGGGCCGAATCTCAGATGGCTCCCTGCTGCCTACGTAGTGCACTACATAGAAATTTAGCACACTGCTTAGGTAGTACGGAGCCATTTGGGATTCAAGCTGGGTTTTACACTTTTGGATTTTCATA